CTTCGCTGGACGGTGAGTTTTTACCCCATTGGAACGCATTGAACGGGTTTCAATGCGTTTCAGTGGGGTTTTATTTTCGCTTTACGATGTTTTCGCTTAACAGCGATTTTCCTGGAACGGATTATCGTCGTCAAGTGAGGCACCACTGTATGTGTTATGAAACAACGTATATTTTCTTTGATGTTACATAGAATATGTGTTACATTTCCAGAAATATCTATAAATTAAAATCTCTGTAAATAAAAATCTCTATAAATTAATTATTAAATTATAAAAAAACTATTGTAAACTGCTTTCATCAGAGGCCTGTTTATTTGTTTTTTAAATGGTATATATTAGTGCCACATAAATATCACAATTCTTTGGGGGAATTGGGAAAATTCGGTGCAGTAGGATTTCAGGATATCCATGTTTCATGGTGTACAAGCATTTAAATATAAAAGGACCGTTTTGCCCAGAAACGTATTGGCAGATTACAAGGCACTTGTATTGTTAAGACTAGAGTTCTCTGAGCTTAGCAGTAACAGCATTAAAGCTTTTGTATGAAAGGAAGCACATTTTGGGATTTGATTCTTTTGTCTTATAAATGTTTAATCCAAGTCTTTCTTTCTTCTCTCTTTAGTTGGAAGGAGATCACTTGCTCTTGCCTCACAAATTGAAATATTAGTTCTGTGCTGGCCACAGAACAGAAGTGTTGTTGGAAAGGTAAGTACTCAGACCCTGCAATTTCTTTGCAATATATTTACACTGCCTTTGGTGAGGGAATTTGTTATCACTCGGTACTTCACACCTAAAACATGTTTGTCTATGAATATGAACTGTGAGCTCCTCAAAAGCTGTATCACTTGTCAATGCACTGTAATATGTGAGGTCTTTCTGAAGCAGGGATTGTGATCTTACAGCCCTCCTGATATTTGTTACAGCTCTCATTAATCAAGCCATTATGACCAGTGCTTAAGGAATTATGGGAATTGTAGTTCAACAAACCAGGAAGGCCACAGTAGGATTAACACAGAGAACAGAATCTGAAAGAAATGTTCAACTGTTCCCATGGAAAGATATTATTTTGTTCCAGGCCGTAGATATTGCTTTGTCCTGATATGAATAAAAATAGCTACACTTCATTAATAATTACTGAAATCCTGTTCATAGCATAAACCTGGGTATAGCTTTCCATCCATTCTTCCCTGGTAAACAAACTGTTGCTCCCATATTTCTCAGGGGCGTGCACATGCAAACATCAAGCCAGTGTGCACATGCTCCCAGCCAGTTTGTATGTGCTGCCATGAATTAAACCAGCGGTGGTTTGTTTACCCGAGAGGAACAGACAGAAAGTTACACTTCAGCTTATGCTATGAAAAGGATTTTAGCCAATATCAATTGTAAAAGTGGCAGCTGAGAACACTAGTGAACATTTAGCCCCAGGGCATTAACTTTTGGAGCACTTTTCCATTCTATTACTAGGTCCAACTAACCTGCCCTTGCAAGTAGAAAGTATCTAATTACAAGGTGAAGAGAATAAACTCTACTGTTATTTTAGTCAGAAATATAATTAGATTTTGAGCAATACATTTCTATAAAAACCTGTAATAATCATGAAAATTAGGATGAAAACTGAGGGAAAAGGTCAAACAAGGAGAAAATTCAAAAGATTGTATAATATATTGTAAGTATATTGTGTTCCATATACTTCAGTTATCATATTATTATCCCTTTCTACTAATTTAGTTCAGACATTGTATCAAACCATGGCCGGAAGCAGAAATTATAGTTTGAAATGAGTTTACAAACCATCATTTCTGTTGTGTCAGGTGCCACTCTGTGGTTTGATGTGATGTGTGAATTGAGAAATCATACTTGGGTTGTTGCTGTACCTTTAACACTCCTATGCTATAGAAAGAGAAAAGCTGAACAAAAACAGACAAGGTACTCTAAAACTTCATTTGTCCAGTTTTATTTGAATTTGGCCAGTGGAATGATGCCACTGAAGAGAGTTTTAATTCGGTATTTGGAAGGTTACAGAGTCCCTCCCTGTTTTTTAGGAACCTGGAGTTCAGTTTCTGAGTATATAGTTGTGTCCCATTTATAACCTTAAATTGTCACAAAACACAGGAATTCATGTACTGATTGAGAACTTAGTTCACAAATGCAAACCACAAGTAACAGTTGAAGTGGAAAATGTCAGATGTGAGAATTGACTTCTGTTTTCCAAGATAAGAATTAATATTTTGTACAGATGTATGCCTTGATTAAATACAGTTCATAATTATCACATCTAGGAGCCAGTTTATCATGGTCATTTAGCACCCTGCGTTACCAGTGTTGATTTAGAAAGCATACACTGTTCTGTAAAATTTGCATTGTATTTTTACAAACACACAGAGCTATAAATGTTTAAATTCTTATAATTAGTTCTATAGTATTGTTGATACATGTCAAAAATACTTAAACTATACAGATTTAGTGATTAGATTACTTCTATTTTGTATTGTTCTGACATGGATCTCTCTGCCTGAACTTGTAGATATCCAAATCTTCATTAGCATGCCAACTATTGTAAAATTCTTCTAATGGCATAATTGTAGTTTAAAACACATATTTCCAGTCATACAGTATTAATACAGTGGTGCCCCGCATGACGACGATAATCCATTCCGGGAAAATCGTTGTTAAGTGAAATCGTTGTCATGCGAAAAGCCTTTCCCCATTGGAATGCATTGAAACCCGTTTAATGTGTTCCAATGAGGAAAATACCTGGTCGTCCAGTGAAGATCGCCCATAGGGAAGCCATTTTGCGAGCGTCGATCAGCTGTTAAAATGGCTGCCCCGCGAAGCATGGGTCCGGAAAACACGGGGCAGCCATTTTAGGAAGCCGATGATCATTGGAAAAAATCGTCGTCTTGCGAATAAACGGTCCGCGAAGCATGGACCAAATCATCGTCAAGAGGAATTCCCCCATAGGAATGACTGTTTTGTGAATCGCTATAGCGATCGCAAAAAGTCATCATCGTGCTGTTTTGTTGTATAGCAGGGTGTCTAGCGAGGTACCACTGTATCTGCTTTTGCCTATTTAATTTTTTTTCCGAACTGCAGAGCAAAATTTCTAGAGCCCTATGAAATTTAACCCTTTTATTACAAAGATGCCTGACTTGTTTCTATGCTTGTAAATATCTTGCAGAGGTCACCCTGTTCATATTTATTTGTTAAGTCTAAACCCTGATTTTCACATTCTGGACCTATTGTAACTTCTCTGTCTCATTTAAATATTTTCCCTGAATAGTAAAATATATTTTCTATGTTATTTTGCAAAGTAAAATCTTGTAAGCTAAAACACCTATTTCAGAGTATTCTTATTACATCAGTTTACAAGATCAATACAGTGGTGCCTCGCTTAATGACGATAATCTGTTCCAGGAAAATCGCCATTAAGCGCAAACATCGTAAAGCGAAAATAAAAAGCCCATTGAAACACATTGAAAACCTTTCAGTATGTTCTAATGGGCTTGAAACTTGCCGTCCAGCAAAGATCCTCCATACGGCAGCCATTTTCGCTGCCTGTACAGCGAGGAATCCGTCCCTAAACACGGTGGGGAGCCATGTTAGTTACCCGGCAGCCATTTTGAAACCGCCGATCAGCTGTTTAAAAATCATCATTTTGCGAAGAATCGGTACCCGAAGCAGGGAACAGATCATCGCAAAGCAAAATTCCCCCATTTAGACCATCGTTTTGCAATCGCAATTGCGATCGCAAAAAGATCGTCATAAAGTGGATTCGTCGTAATGCGGGGCAATCGCAAAGTGAGGCACCACTGTAGTTTCCAGGAGAAGGAGTTTGGCACACTGTTAGAAGGATGTAGCACTGGCTCACTAAGGCAGAATCAGAGGACATGATGATTCTGCTTCTGAATTCCTTTCGTGAATGCCAGAAGTTATAAAATTGAACACGTAGGACAGCCTAGAATATGCTTTGAAGTGTTTAGAATAGTAGCAGTAATTTTTTTTCCTTTCTACGTTGCTCTCTCCAAGAGTCCACTCATTTGAGTCTGAGAAGATTGAGTTTAGCAGTTAGTGATGGACCATTCTAGATTTTAGTTTCAGGGACAGTACCGACAGGACAGTCCTGAATTTTGACGATGCAGGCACTGCATAACAGGTGCAACATTTTGTTCAGGCTATCAGGATGGAATGTGTGTTTCTGAAGCATTAACTCATCCTTCGTTTGTTGGAGCTGTCAGAGAGACCATTCTTTGTGTAGCAGATTAAGGTACAACTCTAATTGGTTGTCTTTATCATTAATTGCCATCTGTCCTTGGCTTGTTTCTGTGCCTGTGGTTCAGATTCTTATAGAGATGGGACCTTCTTTGTTCTCATACATTACCAGAAATTTGGCTATGTTGGAATGAGTGTCAAGCAAAATTTGCTATTTTGCATAGTAATGCCACTCCCACGCTCTGTTAGAGACTTCTGCTCTCATTTTGAATGTTTTGGTGTAGGGACGCTAGATTGTGCTAAATTAGTGCCAAAAAAAACCCCAGAACATTTTTTGAGAGAAACTTTAACTAAGACACACTGTGACAATGGACACTAGCAGGGCATTGCCCCAGGAGGATAACTGAGGAGGAAAACATCAAGGAATGGTGTAACTAACCATTACTTCTAAGCTGGTTCCTATCTAGTTTAACCAGTCATGGTTAGAATATATTTTGGATTAGTATTACAAGTACAGCCGTTGTTTCTAAGCTCAAATAGTTAGATCTTAATGCTGAATTCTGAAATTAAAATCATTAAAGTTGTAATAATTACATTATTTACCGTAAAGTTGATAATTTCAGTTGTCACTTTTGTTTTATCCCTCCATCCATTTTATCTCCTAGACAGTTTCCAGCTCTCATGATACATATATACTTTTGTGTACTATTTTCATAAACTATATTGCTTAAATTTAAAAATCATAATAAAAGGAGGGCATGTATGGCTTTAATTATTTTATTGGCTGGAATTATCCCAGAAATGTATATTTGGGAACAGTATGTAGTATGTATGGGATTTCTCTTACCTGGTGCCACAAAAGTATTGCACACCAAACTGAACATGTAACTGGCTATAAGGGAAATACGACATTAAAAAGTAATAAAACCTGATATTTCCTTTGATTGGCTTTATTACTTCAGGAAGAAGAAAGCATGGATCAATTTAATATGGCCATATTTACTGGTATTTTATGGTGAATTGGATTTTGAAATAAAATATGAAGATAACGGAGGTTCAGTTGCTCTTTTGTTATCATGTAAAGGCAGAATCTATCAAAGAGGCATCAAATAAGATATGATAAACATTGTCACTCTTGTCAGAATCACCCACAAAAATCAGTTTGCAAAAGTTCCAGGAAACTTAAGACTAAAACTAGCTATGATTGTTTCAACTGTTAGAAAGAAACCTAATCTATATGGCTAAATGGGCAATTATGCCCATTAAATTTGGGCAGCTGACATGAAATGGCGATGATTTTCTAGTAACAAGACACAGTTATATAAATTACTCCATTTTTTCTTTCATCCTCTCTGATTTGCAGCTATTCTGAGTAAAGTTTAATAATAGAGTATGTAGTATGTAGAGCTTTAATGATATACCAGGGTTAATTACATCTATATACTAATATTTCCAAAGACAGCCGAGCCGGGCAATCACTTTGGTGCCTTTTCCCC